ATTGCCTTTGTCTATTAACATTTTACTCTTAATAATAAATGTATATTTGTTCATATACCTGAAGTATATTCTTTCCGTGTATCCTGAGGTTAAAATTACAACAAAAGTTTCTTGAATAAAACATCATTTGAAATTTACAAATATATTCCAATTTCCGCATTTGTATATTAAATATAGACAAAATATTTTTTTATTTCTTTTTTATAATTTTCTCTCTAAATTTGAATTAGTAATAATGTTTGAGAATTTGGATCAGTGACTAAATTTTTGCTATTAAATTAGTAAAGTTTACTAATAAATTAGTAGAAATTACTGTTTATTAGTCAAATTTACTAATTTATTAGTAAAAAATAAGTAGTAAATATTAGTAGTATTTATTAGTACAAAAAATTAGTAGTAAATATTAGGAGTATTTATTAGTTTAAAAAGTTAGTAGTAAATATTAGTGGTATTTATTAGTAAAAAATTAGTTAGGAAATTTTTCTAATAAATAAGACAATTAGTAGAAATTTCTATTCATTAGTAAAATTTACTAATTCAAAAGCAAAAAGTCAGTCTCTAATTCAAATTATTTAAACATTTTTAATTTTTACTAATTCAAATTTAGAGTTTGAAAATAATCGAGGAAATAATTTCGTAGTTTAGACACATTTTTGGTATTTAATTTTCTTGTTTTGCATCAATTTTATTGTAATCATAACAGCATAATATGTGAGGAAATAATAGAGAGATGTTAATTGCTTCTTTATATATACAGCTTCGATGTTTGTTGAGGAAATTAATTTTCATTCATATTCATGATTGACGAATTTTTCCGGTTACAATTTAATCTAATGATTCACAGAATTATGGTATTTTTCTCTATTTGTGAGAAATGATTATAAATTCAGAAATAATTCTTCTTTCGCTAATTCATAATTCAATAAAAATAATTATTACGCATTGGAAAAAAATAATTTCTCCGTTTCGCACTTTAGAAAAAAAAAATTTCGATTTGTTTATTTTTGAGTAATTAACTAAATTATAGGCTAGCGGTAAAAAAAAGAAACCTAATTTTTTAAATAAAAAATCATTTTTTTTTTTAGTTTTATGAATTTTTTTAATTATTAATTTCTTTTTTAATTTATTAATAAATAAATTTTTCAGACATGTTTATTATAAAGTTGTTTTCTGCAAATAGTGATAGAGAAAAAAGTAAACGTGTATACTGAGAGAGAAAAATTTGTTTCTGACTTAAAATCAAATTACGTGGGATAATTCCTTTTGATCCAATTATATAGCGGTGCAAAGACAAGTGTTTCAATACATTAGAACTTGTAATCTAATTTATAAGATTTTCTTTCGGCAATAAGTTACTTTAGTGCTCGTAGGTCAAGTTACGGTCGAATCGATTTCTATACAATTTATTCTCTTCTTTATGAACTAACAGTAATCTTGGTCTTTATCTCTTAAGTAGCAAATTATAAGAACTTCCGAATTCCGATCAATTCACATACACTTTATTTATTAATAACTATTGAATAAAATGGAAAATAATAATTGAATTTATTTTTTACTGATTATTATTTGTAAATTTATTTGTAAATTTATTTGTAAATAATTGTAAAAAATTTAATTTTTAGAATTTATAAGAAAACTCTGAAGCCTCATAAACTATGAAATTGACAAGAATTTTTTACAAAATCTTAAATTTTTTCTATTTCTGGCAATAATTGAACCCCTTGATGCAAGAACCAGACGCAGCCCATTTAATCTCAATGGTCTATGTTTGGTTCTTGCATCAAAGGGTTCAATTTCTTTTTAAATAACTTAATTCTTGAAAAACTATCATAAAATTATTACTTAGAAATTATTTAATGAATAATTTTACTTAAAAATTTCAAATTTAATTGGATTTAAAAAAAGTTGCGTTTAAAATCTTCATAAATAGATGAACTTCAAAGGTTTCAATATGAAGTTTTTAATGAATTTAAATAGAAATTTTAAGAACAACTGATTACAGAAATTCAATTATTTTCAAAAGTAATATACTTCTTCGCATAAAATCAATTATGTTCAAAAATTTATAAAAATTCTCGTCAAAATTTCAATTATCTTTATAAATAATAAAATTCTTCTCCGAAATTCAATTATTTTCAAAAATTATCCTCATTTCAATTATTTTTAATATCTACTATTTTAATAAAATTTTCTAAAAGAATTCAAATATTTAAACAAAATGTTAATAAAAATTTCACAGGAATTCAATTACTTACCAATTTTTTATAAATTTCTTCGCACCAATTCAATTATTTTTAATTTTTTAATCAAGTTTCTCGAAAGAATTCAAATATAATTGAAAAAAATAGTTCTGCGAAATTCAATTATTTCGAAAAATTTAAATAAAATTCTTGTAAACATTCTATTATTTAAAAAAATTTTGACAAAATTCTTTACAAGATTTAGTTAATAAATTGCAATTTCATAAAATTTTCCTATTCAATTCAATTATTTTCAATACAATTCTTCGAAATAATGCAATTATTTTCACAAATAATACATTTTTTATGGGAATTCAATTATTTGAAAAAAAATTTGAATAAAATTCTTCGCAAGAAATCAATTATTTTCATAAATAAAAAAATTTTTCTCAAAAATTCAATTATTTTAAAAAATTTTGATAAAATGCTTTATAAATTTGAAAAATTATAATAAAATTGATCATAGAATACAATTATTTTCGTAAAATATAACATTCTTCCTAGGAATACAATTATTATTGTCAAAAATATTTCTAAAATTCTTCGAAACAATTCAATTATTTTCGTAAAAAATAAAATTCTTTAAAGCAATTCAATTATTTAAGAAATTTTAATGAAATTCTTTTCAAGAATTCAATTCTTTTCAAAAATAGACATGTTCACAGTAATTTAATTATTTAAAAAAAAATTTAATAAAATTCTTCGTCAGATTTCAATTATTTTCAATTTTTTAATAAAATTTCTCGATAGAATTTAATTATTTTCAAAAAGTTTTTAAAAAATTCTGAGAAATTCAATTATTTAAAAAAAATTTGAATAAAATTCTTCACAAGAAATTTTTTAATATCATAAATAATAATATTTTTTTCCGGAATTCAATTATTTTCACAAATAAAATTCTTCACAGGAATTCAATTCTTTAAAAATTTTTTAATAAAATTCGTTGCAAGAATTAAATTATTTTTATAACTAACAAAACTTATCGCAGAATTTCAATTATTTTTTATACAGTTTTAAATAAAATGATAGAAAATTTCATTTATTTTAACAATTTTTTTTAAATTCGCCGAAAGAATTCAATTATTATTAAAAATTTTGATAAAATTCTTCATAAAAATTCAATTTTAAGAAATATGCAATTATTGAATAAATTATTTCTTTTTGTATTTAAATAATTGAATTTTTGAAAAATTTTCTTATAAAAATTGATTAAAAAATGAATTGTACTTAAAATTTTAAATTATAATTGGATATTAAAAGCATTACAGCGTGAAATTTGAGAAATAATTGAATTTTGAAAAGGGTTCAAATTAAAATCTTTGAAAATTTGAATTTATATTTACAATATTCTTATGATATATAGAATTCACATAAGTTATTGAAATTCAGAAGGTTTGAATTTAAAAATCTTAATTCCTATAGAAAAATAATAATGATTAAATATTTATTTAAAAAAGAAGTTATTGATGTTTTCGAATATTTTTATAAATAAATAAAATAGAACATTTTTTTGAGTATCTAATAATTTTTTGATTGAATCAGAATATTCTTTAGGATCAGGGAAAAAAAATTAAAATTTTGTCTGGAAATCAGGGAAAAACAAAATTAAATTTTTGTGGCAACCCTGTAATAATAATAATTATTTTTTATATTATTTATTTTTATTTAAATTGTATTAAAAATTACTATTTTTAAATTTATAGATCAGATGGAATATATGTATGGAAATTAAATTCTATATTTTTAGAATCAACATTGAAATTAGATTTCTTATAGAATAATTATTGAATTGAATAATAAACATTAATTTGCCTCAATAGTGAATATTAAATTTGATTATTACGTATGTATATACGTGAAAATTACAAAATGAAATTTTAATTGAAACTGTGGTTACGAATCTGTATAAACCTCTGTAATTGAATAATTAATTATTAAGTTCAGTTGCACTTCATGATTGATCAGGATGTTTTAAATAATTAGTTCAATTGTATCTCTAATTAATTTACACGTGTCCCTTGCTGATATTAATTAACCACAAATATGTCATTTAAATAAACTATTTTTAATAATATTATTATTGAATTTTATACTATTTTTGTTCAAACTGAGTAATGAATATAATTAATAATAAATTTACAATCTTTCCTCTATGATGAAACAATAATAATAATAATAATAATAATAATAATAATAATAATAATAATAATAATAATAATAATAATAATAATAATAATAATAATAATAATAATAATAATAATAATAATAATAATAATAATAATAATAATAATAATAATAATAATAATAATAATAATAATAATACCTAATAGTAAAAATAATAATATTAAAAATAATAATATTGAAAATAATTAAGATAATAATAATATTAATTAAATTAATAATAATAAATAATAGAAGAATTATAATAATAAATAGTAGAAAATTTTCTATTGTAATTTTTATTTTCATATTAATTATTTTTATATTTTCATCTGGATTATTAATTTTTTTTTTATTTATTTTTTTTATTTTCATTTTATTGTAATTATTATTTTATTATTCAATTTTAATTGTAATTATTTCTATATTTTGCTAGTTAATAGTATTGAAATTTATTCATTTTTAAAATTGAGAAATAATGATGATTACTTCTTCTTCTCCTTTATATATATATATATATTGTTTTATGCGAATAGCTTTAAGAGAAATTTTGAAATAATATTGTTATGTAAATGAGAATAATTTTTCTTTTCAAAACAGCGCAATGCATCGGAGAGTGGGACATAGCAACTATGATGGCAAAATCGCGGGACTTTACGATCTCGAGGAAACTCTTGGACGAGGTCATTTCGCCGTTGTCAAGTTGGCTCGACATGTTTTCACTGGTGAAAAGGTGGCCGTCAAAGTCATCGACAAAAGTAAACTCGATGAAGTTTCCAGAGCACATCTTTTCCAAGAGGTGAGAGAGAAGAAAAATCAATCAAGCTGCTTAATAAATATTCCTTTTTTCTCTTTTTTCAATTTCAATCGAGCGAATTTTTTATAAAGCTTTTCTCTTGGAAAAAAAACTTATGTTCATAAAGTTTTAAAGTCTTTCTGTTCACAAGTTTTTTCTTAAATTAATTTTTTTTTGTCATTAGTTTCAGAATTGATTTTTACACTATTTCGTAGTTATTATTAAAATTGTTATTGTTAAATAATGTTTATTTGAAAAATATTTTGTGCATTAAAAAAATTAATTTTTCTAAATAGTGTAATTATTTTCAGATTTGAACAGAAAGAAGTTTTCGTTTATTTGAACGTTAAAAATTTTTGAAATAAAAACTTTGTTTTTTTGTAGAATTCAATTAGTAGAATTCATTTTCTATTACATTGGAAATCTAATTTATTATTATGTAATTTATTACTAAATGAAACATTTTATTATATTTAAAATTAATTACTGTAAATTAATTTTCCACTGCTTTTACGACATAAAATTATGTTATAAACTGAAAATGTACCCATAAAGTAAAATTGCTTTATTAAAATTATTTTCAACATATTGCTGATAATTTTTGGGTCATTGTAAAATGTGTAACGTTTCACTCGGTGCTTTATAATATTTTCGCTCTGCAATAAATCATCAGTCATAAATTTAACTAATCTTCGAATTGATAAACCTCCTCTAAATGTACTTTTAAAAGTGTTATTCTAAATTTCCAAATATTCCAAGTAACGAAAATTGAAACTAGTATTTCGAAATTAAAATTAAATTATTAAAAAAAGGGACTTGAACAATTAACTTGTTCTTAAAAACTCGTTCGAAAGAAAGAAAAAAAATAAGAGAAAAAATTTGTTTTAAATTATGATAATTGGTAGTTTGCGCACTGTGTCATAAATATTATCAAATTTTGTAATATATTTTAGAAACTTTTCTTTTATTTCAAGTATATATATACGTTCGTTCGCATGATTTACGGCAAAGCCGTTCAAACCCATTTAACCTGTTAGGAGTTAATTGACTGTGAAGTCGTGGCAATAGAACATCTTTTAAAACTATATTTTTTTTTCCTTTTGAATTTTACTCCTGGCGGATTTAAAATGAGAAAAAAAAAGTTAGAAATTTAAGTAAGTAGGAAATCGCACTTTGAGGAGGAAAAAAAATGTAGCTATATCTTTCCTTTATTTCCTCTGAAAATAGAAATTCGAGAAGTTTATCCTTGAATTTAAATGACATAACTGATAAAATGTGAACGTAAACACTTGAGTAATTTCTAGGTGAGATGCATGAAGCTCGTGCAACATCCGAACGTTGTACGACTTTACGAGGTGATAGACACACAAACGAAGCTGTACTTGATTCTCGAGCTTGGCGATGGCGGGGATCTCTATGACTACATCATGCGTCATGAGAGCGGACTCAGTGAAGAAGTATGTTAATTAATTCTTCTCTTTATATATTCATTAAAAGAGGGAAAAAAAAAATATGAATCGAAAAATATTTATACTGATTTTTTGAAAAATTAGGTTTGTCGCACACAAGTTGCAGGGAAATTAGATAACGGTGAAGTTTATAAAGTCACTGATCGACGATTTAAAGAAATTTAATATTTTTCACCAAAGAAAATAATAAACTTTTTTGTTTAAAAATGGTGAAACTAAAATTTAATTCTTGAAAATTTTATGCTGGTAATTGAAACTAAAATGAAATTGAAACTGTCACCCAATTAATTTTTCAAAATTGTATGTTGATTTAAAAAAAATTTAATTTCCGAAACTAAATCAGGGTTGCCACAGGTCAGGGAAGTCAGGGAAAGTAGAATTGGTCAGGGAAATCAGGAAAAGTCAGGAATTTTTATTAAAAGTACTGGAAAAAATTAAATGTTTAGAATTTATAAGAAAATTCTGAATTTTTGTGTTTTTGTTTGTCTCATAAATTATGAAATTAGTTTCAATTTTAAAAATTTTAACGCAATTATTTGAAAGAATTTAACTATCTTAATGAACATTAAAATTCTTTCCAGAAATTTAATTATTTTCAAAAATTTTTTAAAAATTCTCGTCAACATTTTAATTATTTTTATAGGGGAATGTAGTCAAGGTTGGCCTACTGTCTAGGTAGGCCACTCGCGTTTTTTTGTCAAGTTCACTAGCGCCACCTACGCGCATTTTTGTCGAAGCTTGTCTTAGTGAAACCTAACTTTTTGTTCAATTACATTTTCGGAAAATCGAAAATTGTGTTTTCTGTGACGTCGGTACAAAAAAAGCTCAAAAATAGTTTTGTGCATAATGTGAAAAACCATTAATAAAAGATAAAAAACAAATTGAATCGTCAAGGCAAGTATGCAGAAAATTTGTGGGACTCATGGTTGAAAGGAAAACAAAGTAAAAAATCGAATCCCGAAACGTATTTCTTTATGGTTACAACAATTCGGTAATGTTACTTACTGTCAAGGTCGGCCACTATGTGTTTAAAATGCGCAAAGTTGAGGACGAGCTACTTCATTTGCAAAAACTGCAATTCTGTATAACTCATAATATAATTGATCATCTTATTAATATTTTTATTTAATTTTATTAATATTTTAGTGCAAAACTTTTTTTTATTTATATTTATTTTTTTATATTGTTTATTGTTATTATTTTGTTATTTCATTAAGTTACAAACTGTAAACAATAAAGAATCAATTTTCCGTAACTCCAAACATGTTATTTTAGTTTTTAACGATTAATGCCCTTTGAATTTTAAACATGGCCGACCTTGACTGTAATGGCCAACCTGGACTACAAATTTTTTTTTTTTTAAATCTTTATAACTTTTTCATTTTTAAACCTGTCAATTTACTTTGTACAGAAAAAATGTTCCTATTAAACAGGACTTTCCAACCATATACTTCAATTGTCCAAATTCATTTTTAAAAAAAAGTTATAAACAAAAGTCAAAAAGGTGGCCGACCTAGACTATGTTCCCCTACATAGCAAAACTCTTCGCTGAAATTCAATTATATTCAGGAATTTTTATAACATTCATTGTAAAATTCAATTATTTTCATAAATAACAATATTCATCACAAGAATTCAATTATTTTCAAAATTAATAAAATTCTTCGAAGAAATTCAATTATTTTCAAAGAATCAAAAAAAATTTTTGTCAACATTTCAATTATCTTTATAATTGAATAGCAAAATTCTTCGATAAAAATCAATTATTTTCAGGAGCTTTAATAAAATCCATTGCAAAATTCAATTGTTTTTATAAATAATAGTATTCGTCGCAAGAATTCAATTATTTTTAAAAGTAATAAAATTCAATTATTTTCAAAACTTTTCATAAAATTCATAACAAAATTTCAATTATTTTCAAAAAATTTTCTTAATTCAATGATTTTCAATATTCTACTATTTTAATAAAATTTCTCAAAACAATTCAATTATTTAAAAACAATTTTGACAAAGTTCTAAACGAATATTTAATTATCTTCTAAAATAATGAAAATTTCAGAGGAATTCAATTATTAAAATTAGAACTTGCATAGTTTTTTTCGAAAAAAATCAATTGTTGTAAACATTTTTATGAAATTCTTTGCAATAATTCAATGATTTTCATAAATAATAAAACTCATTGCAGAATTTCAATTATTTTTAATACAATTTTAATCAAATTCCTTAAAAAAATGTAATTATTAATAAAAATTTTATTAAAATTTGTCGAAAGAATTCAATTATTTAAAAATTTGTTTATAAAATTCTATATAAGAATTAAATTTTAAGAAACATTCATTCATTTATGCAATAAATTATTTACATTTGTTTTTAAATAATTGAATTCTCGTAGAATTTTCTATTAAAAATTAATTTCATATAAAGTTTTAGAGTTCAGTTTGGAGAAGTTATTAATAATTGAAATTATTAGAAATAATTGAATTTTGTAAATGTTTCAAAATAAAATCTTTGAAAATTTGAATTTTTCTTCCTTTAATTACCTAAAAATTCTATGCAACTAATTTTTTTTAAAAAACTTAATCGCAATTTTTTTAAATTATTTCAAGTTTTTATTTTCTAATGTATATTTAATTGAAGAATTTCTGAACAATCGAAATTTCGTAAAATTGAATTGAAAACAAATGAATTTGAAAATTCTCAAAAGAACTTTATCATAAACTATTAGAATTTTATTTAAAAATTTTAGAAAATCATAAATGAATTGAAACGATGAAAATAATTTTTAAGAAGTTACAGTAAGAATATTTTTATATTATAATATAAAATAGTGATTTTAGCACTCAGTTACCTTTAATTATTATAAAACATGCAGAAATAGATCTTTCAAGTTATTGAATTTCAAAAGGTTTAAAATTTGAAATTTTTGAAATCTTTTTTCCTATGAGAAAATAATAATGATTAAATATTTATTTAAAAAAGAAGTTATTGATATTTTCGAATAATTTTACAATTAAAGAAATTCGTAAATAAGTGAGGGAATAATAATAATAAGTGAGGGAAAAAGTAAATGGATGCCAGTTACAATGTTTTTTTATTCAGAAAAAATAATTAAGAAAATTCGTAAAAATGTTATGAAAAAAAAATAGTAAAAATTTCAGTAGAAAAATAATTTTTCTTCTAAATTTTTTATCATAATATTGTTGTAAACTTTACGAAACTGAAATCGGGGAATAATACATTTTTCTAGAATTTCCTAGAAATTTTCTAGATTCTTCTAGATTTGAATTAATTAAAAGTGACTAAGGTAGTAAAAAGTCAGTCACTGATGCACATGGTACACGACAAAAATAGGGTCTAATTTTTACTATTTTCAAAGTAAAATTTAAACTTTTGGAACTTATGCGCATTTTTGTGTTAATTTTTACTATTTTCAATGTTCAAAAATATTTTAATTTTTAACGTTCAAAACTTAAAGAAAAATTAAAAAAATTCTAGGTAAAATTCTTGGTGACCAAAAAATTTTTTGAAAAACTTGAATTGAAAACCTTGATAAAAATTTAATTTCTGTGAAACTTTAATTCAGTTGTTAAAAATACTTGAATATTTAGAAAAAATTTTATTACTTGCTTTTAAAATGATTTAACTTTGAAACAATTGCAATAAATTTTTTTTTATTAATTACAGTTAATTTTAAAAATATTTACATTTAAAACTTTAAATTAAAAATTAGAAAATAAAGTTAAAAATTAAAGTTCAGAAAACTTTTATTTAAAATTCGGAAAACATTATATTTCTAAAAAATTTTAATTCAATTGTTTAAAAATAGTTGAATTACCTAAAAAAATTATTAAAAAATTTATCAAAATTAATTGAAATTTTGTGAAATTGCATTGAAAATAATTAAATTCGTTAAAGAATTTCATTGGAAATTTAGAAAAAAATGAATTTTCATTTTACAATTGGTAAAAAATTTAATTTTGTAAAAAAAACATACAGTCGATTGTATTTGTATGTTTATCAGAATTTTTTTTATAATGATCAGAGAAAAAGTCTAAATTCTGTTCGAAAATCAGGGAAAAATAAAATCAAATGTTTGTGTGACAACCCTAAAAGTTTATTTTTTTAAATTCATTTGTTTTTTAAAAAAATAAATAAATAATAAAACAAAATTTATTAATTTCTAATCTAATCTTATCTAATTTCTGTTTTTTCATTATTTTTTGTTTTCAGGTTGCGAGAACATATTTTCGTCAGATAGTAAGAGCGATATCGTACTGTCATCGATTACACGTGGTCCACAGGGACTTAAAACCTGAAAATGTTGTTTTTTTCGAAAAAGTAGGAACCGTAAAACTCACGGATTTTGGTTTTAGTAATCGTTTTTGTCCTGGACAAAAATTGGAAACATCTTGTGGTTCGCTCGCTTATTCGGCGCCTGAAATTCTATTGGGCGACAGTTACGATGCACCTGCCGTTGGTAATTATTGCAAATTTCCTTTTTTTCCTTTGAAAATAATTAACATACGTAATGTTAGATTTGAGATGCGACGTTTTTTTTTCGTTTCTGTTGTTGAGATGTGTTTCTTTTTTTTCTTAATTAGAAAAATAAAACTAGTCTCTTGATTGACATTGATGGAAATGCGAATTGCAAACTGGATAATTATTGATTAGCTTCCACCTTCAACTTTACACGTATTTTTTTTTTTTTTTTTTTCTTTGAATAGTAATCGATTTTTTTTATAGGATGTTTCTTGTGAGGTGTAATTTTGTGATTGCACTTGACATTGAAGGGGGGAAAAAACGCCTGAGATCAGGGACATTTTCTTTTAATTCCTGTATGGGAAAATTAAATTTTATTCAATTTTATTTCTTCTAATTCACTAATTTATTCTTACTTTTTCTAATTTCTTCTTCTTTTTCTTCTTCGTATTTGTTTTTATTTCCTCTAATTTTTTCTTATCTTTTCTAATTCATTTTTATTTTTATTTTTTTTGACTTATTTGTAATTTTGATTTTAATTCTAATTTCGATATTAGAAATTTAATGATATTATTTATGGTTTACACAGGTCAGGGAGATCAGGGATGTCAGAAAAAGTCAGAAAATTTCATTAAGAGTACTAGAAAAAATTCTAGAATTGTTGAGAAAATTCTAGTTCTTGGCATCGAACGACCATTGAAAATATAAGCCTTGGATTTTTTATTTTTCTTGATAATACTTTTGAAAAAATACGACTTTTTTCGACTTGTTTTTTTAAAAAATGGAACTAAGTGAAAAATATTGTTTTTTTCAAATCATTGATTTTATAAGCATTGTAATCATCAACAATGTAATTTTTTCTATGTCTTCTAACATATAAAACACACTTTTGTCCTTCAATGTTAAATTATTTATTAAAGTAAATGTAAAAAATTTACTTTTATGTTTTTTCAAAATTTATTTATAATTTACACTTTTTAAAAATTTTGTTTATTAATTCTATCTTAAGAGTTTTCTTCAAAAAATCTCTCTTTTTCTAAAATTATTGAAAAGTTGTTCACTAGTGTAAATTAATAAAAAAAAATCTGCTACTTTTAATCATGTTTCTAATTTAAATTTTTAAATTTTAGGAAAATAATTTTAAGCTTTAGAAGAGAATACTTCATTGTTATTAAATTAATAATTAAAATTATAAAAAAGCAATTTGAAAATAATATTTAATGAACTAATGGAATGTTCTCCTTTTTTAGACATTTGGTCTCTCGGTGTCATCCTCTACATGCTGGTATGTGGTCAAGCACCATTTCAGGAGGCGAATGACAGCGAAACACTGACCATGATCATGGACTGCAAGTATTCGATTCCATCGCATGTTTCCGAAGGTTGTAAAAAGCTCATTGCTCGAATGCTCGTGAGAGAACCGGAAGGACGAGCAACTCTCGAGGAAATCGCTTCTGATCCATGGCTGTCAATTGGCTCCGATGCCGATCCCATTGAATCGTTACCGCTTATTTCCCGTCAGCAAGTCTCCGAGGAGCATCACAATTTTATAATCACCAAAATGGTCAATGGCAATATTGCAACCAAAGAAGAAATTACCGAGTGAGTTTTTTAAATCGCAATTTTCTTCATCTTCAATTCGATTTTGAAAGTAAAATTCAATTCTGAAACAAATATTCGATTTTGAGTCTTGAATTCGATTTTGTAACTTAAATTCGATTCTGAAACTTAAATTCGATTCTGAAACTTAAATTCGATTCTGAAACTTAAATTCAATTCTGAAACTTAAATTCGATTCTGAAACTTAAATTCGATTCTGAAACTTAAATTCGATTCTGAAACTTAAATTCGATTTTGAGTCTTGAATTTGATTTTGTAACTTAAATTCAATTCTGAAACTTAAATTCAATTTTGAAACTTAAATTCGATTTTGAGTCTTGAATTCGATTTTGATTCAGAGTTGCTATGCAACCTGTAAAACCTGGAAAAGTCAGAGAATTTTGATTGAAATCCTGGAAAATTGTTGTTTTCTTAATTTATTCTGTTTAAAAAGATTTTGATTTAAAATTTTGTAAAATTTCAATTTTAATTGAATTTAATTAAAAATATAAAAAAAATTAGATTTCAAAAAAATTTTTAAAACTTAAATTCTTCTGAAATTAGAAAATTTGTTTAATACATATTTAATTGATTATTAAAAATAATGTATTTATAGAAAAATTTTAGATAAAAACACTAAAACAAATTGAATTTTGAGCAATTACAAATGATTGCAGAAATTCAATTATTTTCAAAAGTAGTAAAATTCTTGTCAAAAATTCAATTATTTTCGAAAAATTGAAATAAAATTCTTGGCAAAATTTTAATTATTTTTAAAAACTTTCCTCAATTCAATGATTTTTAATATCTACTACTTTAATAAAAATTCCTAAAAGAATTCAATTAGTTAAAAACAATTTTAATAAAATTCTAAGAACATTTAATTATTTTCATAAATAATAAAAATTTCACAGGAATTCAATTATTTACAAATTTTTTATAAATTTCTTCGCAATAATTCCATTACTTTCATAAATAAAATATTTTTTACAGGGATTTAATTATTTTCAAAAGTAATAAAATTCCTCGCAGAAATTCAATTATTTAAAAAAAATTTCCTCAATTCAATAATTTTTAATATCTACAATTTTAAAAAGATTCAAGTATTTTCAATATCATTTCAACAAAATTTCTTACAAAAATTGAATTATTTTAAAAAATTATAAAAAACTTTTTCGCAAAAATTCAATTGTTTTCATCAATAGGATATAAGTCTTTTGGAAAATTCAATTATTGTAGTAGACGAAAAAATTATTCGCAGAAATAATATTATTTTTAACATAATTTTAAAAAAAACTTCTTCCCAAGAATCAATTTATTTTCACAAATAATATAAATATTTTGGAAAATTCAATTATTATTATTTTCATAAATAATAAAACTCAATGCTAAATTTCAATTATTATTTTTAATACAATTTTAATGGAATTCCTCTAAAAAGTTATTATTCTTAAATATTTGAATCAAATTTATCAAATAAATTTCATTATTTTAATAACTTTTGCTACAATTTATTTATTATAATTTAAGTATTATTTTCAATAAATTTTTAATTAAATTTCTTTAAAGAATTAAATTGTTTTCAATAAATTTTTAATTAAATTTCTTTAAAGAATTAAATTGTTTGAATAAATTTTTAATTAAATTTCTTTAAAGAATTAAATTATTTTCAAAAATTTTAATGCAATTCTTTGCGTAACAATTCAATATTTTTCAAAATAATTTTAATAAAATTTTTCGCAGAAATCCAATTATGTTTAGAAATTTACAAAAATTCTCGTCAAAATTTTAATTATCTTTATAAATAATAAAATTTCTCTCCGAAATTCAATTATTTTCAAAAATTTTAATAAAATTCTTAGTAGAATTTCATTTATTTTTAATAAAATTTTTATCAAATTGTTTGAAAAATGCAATTATTCTTAGAAATGTTATTACAATTTGTCAAGAAAATTCAATTATTTAAAAACTTGTTGATAACATTCTGTATGAAAATTCAATTATTTAATAAAATATATATTTTTATATTTGAATAATTAAATTTTCGTCGAATTTTTTAATAAATAGTGATTCAAAAGTGAATTTCGAATTAAATTTTAAATGTTAAATTCTCTTTTAAATCCTAAATTCAATTCTGAAACTTAAATTGTATTTTGAATCTTAAATTCAATTCTGAAAATTAAATTGAATGTTGAATCTTGAATTCGATTTTGAATCTTAGATTCAATTCTGAAACTGAAATTCGTTTTTTCAATTCAGAATCGTTTCCCTAAAGTTTTTAACGTTCACACGAATAAAATAATGTTTTGTATTGAAATATTATTAAAAAAATACTAAATTGAAATGAAAAATGTTGCAATTGAAAATCGATTTAGTTAAAAATTAGTTTTTCATTTTATAAAAATAAAAAATATTTTGTTGATAAGTTAAAATTGAAAAAAGCAATAAAAAAAATTGTGGTTCATTTGAACGTTCGAAACTCTTTAGAGACCCGGAATCTTAAATTCCATTCTGAATTCTCTTCTCTAATTCAAGATTTGAAAATGCTCTTGTTGAGAAACGAAAAGCGCACTTGATTTTTCATGAAATGCTTAATTTTACAGTGCTTCATTGTATTTTTATCGTTTCACTGGGTTCTCATATATATACTCTCACGGAATCTATGTATACGTGAATTGAGAGAGTGTTATCTCTTGTTTTATTAACTCCTGTCTTTCAGCGCCCTCGACAAGAACGAGTACAACCATATAACGGCCACTTATTTTTTGTTGGCTGAGAGAAAATTGCGAGCTCATCGACAGGAACAAGTCCAGAAAACGCGGCCCGAGTTATTGAACGTTTCTGGGAGGTATGTAAATCTTTTCTTTTCTTTTTTTTTTTGTTTTGTTTTAATCTCTTTAAATCTCTTTCGATTTTTTTCTCCTGAATAAAATAAATACTCGACTTTCGTTTGTCTTCTAGAAAATTTATAATTTTTTTTTTTTTCTTTCATTTTCAGCCATCCCGATGATCTTTCGACTGATGATTTTAACGTTAATCAGAATTCCTTGGGTAACGTGAACCAATCATTACTTAGTGTACCTCGCACTCCTGGAGATTTACCACAGGTAATTATTATTAATTATTCAGGATTGCCAGAGGAATTCAGGGAAAATAAAATTGCTCAGAGAATTTTATCAAAAGTACTGAATAAATATTAAATTTTTAGAATTCATAAGAAAATTCTAGATTTTTGTGTCCAGCAACCTTTGAAACTGTTAAAAAGATTTAATTATTTAATGAATAATTTTACTTAAATATTTCAAAATTAGTTGGATTTTAAAAGAGTCGCGTTTACAATTATTATTTAGTTAAAAACACTAAAAAAAATTTTGAATTTTGGAGAAGTTTCAAATGATTGAAAAAATTCAATTATTTTCAAAAGTAATAAAATTCTTCATAGAAATTCAATTATATTCAAAAATTTTAAGAAATTCTCGTCAAAATTTCAAGTCTTTTTATAAATATTAAAATTCTTCTTCAAAACTGAATTAAAAAGATTTAATCCTTCATGGATTTTTTTTTGTCATAGCCATTTTGAAATTACCACGAATTTTAATACGCAATATTAAATTTTTTTCTATTTCTGACAATAATTTTTTACAAATAATTTAATTATTGAAAAACTATAATAAAATTATTGCATATTATTAACTATATTATTTTTTAAACCAGCACATTTTACACGCGAGAAATGCAAAGTTCAATTCATTATTATTATGAAAATTAAAAAATTCCTTATTGTAAAAAATCAAATTCAATTTTTGAATAATTTCAGATTCAAAGTTTAAGATAATTAATTCACTCTTAATTAATTAAGCAATTATTTACTAGTTTTTATTATTTTTCTTTATTTTTTGTTATATTTAATTCCTTGCAGGATTTAATTTATTTTCAATACAATTTTAATTAAATTTATGGAAAGAAATTAAGTAATTATTTAAAAAAATGTTAACAAAATACTTTTTATTATTTATTAATTTATTATATTCAAAATTTTAATAAAAGTCGAAACAATTCAAGGATTTTCAGAAGTTTTAAGAAAATACTTCGTAATTATTTTCATAAACAATAAAATTCTTCGCAGGAATTAATTATTTTTATTACACAATAATTTTAATAAAATTTCTCGAAAGAATTTAATTATTTTGGAAATTTTTAATAAAATCCTTCCAAAGAATTCAGTGAAATTTCAAAAATGTAAAATATAATTCTTAATGTGAATTCAATTATTTTCAATACAATTTTAATTAAATTCCTGGACAGAATTCAATTATTTTCAAAAATTGTAATAAAATTTTAATAAAATTCTTCATAACAATTCAATTATTATTCAATATTTTAAGAAAATTGTTTGCAAAAATTATAAAAAAATTTTTAAGAAAAATGTTATGTATTAAAATTAAAACAAAATTTATTTTTAACGCAAAATTATATAAAATATAATTACTTCTCAAATTTCTAAAAAAATTTAATTCTTATAAAGAATTTTATCACCAAATTTTTAAATAATTGAATTCTTTTGACGAATTTTTAATAACATTTTTAAGAATAGTTACATTTTTCAAAGAATTTGATTAAAATTGTATTAAAAATAATTGACATTCTGCGATAAGTTTTATTATTTATGAAAATAATTGAATTCTTGCAAAAAAAATTATTAAAAAATTTTTTAAAGAATTGAATTCCTGTGAAAAATTTTATTTGCGAAATTATTGAATTCCGGAGAAAAATATTATTATGTATGAAAATAATTAGTTTCTTGTGAAGAATTTTATTCCAATTTTTTTAAACAATTGAATTTGAATTTGAATTGAAAATTTTTATTTTTGAAAAGAATTAAATTCTTGGGAAGAATTTTATTAAAATTTCTTAAATAATTGAATTGCTTCAAAGAATTTCTGTGAAATTTTGATTATTTATGAAAATAATTAAATGTTTGCGTACAATAAATTTTATTGAAATTTTTTTAAATAATTGATTCCTTTTGAGTAGTTTTACTAAAATAGTATAGAGATATTGAAAATTATTAAAATGAGGAAAATTTTCGAAAATGATAATTGAATTTTGAAGAAGAATTCTTTTATATATAAAGATAATAATTGGGATTTTGTCGAGATTTTTTTGTAATTTTTGAACATAATTGATTTTTGTGATAAGAATTTTATTAGATTTTGAAAATAATTGAATTTCTGCAAATATTTGTAACTTTTTTAAAATTCAATTTTTTTGGGTTTTTAACTAAAATTCTTCTGTAAATCCATTATTTTCAATAATTAATTAAATATAGATATATTGACAAATTTAACTAATTTTATAAAATTTTGAATTATTAAAATTTTTTAAAAATTTATGTTCTTTAACATTTTTAATTATAAATTCATTTAAAATTGAAATTTTATAAAATTTCAAATTAACACTTTTTGAAGTTCAATTATTTATGAAAATTGTAAACGCAACTCTTTTAAAATTGAATTAATTTTAAAATATTGAAGTAAACTTATTTATTAAATAATTTATTTATTTTATGATAGTTGTTTAAGATTTAAGTTATTTTAAAAGAAATTATTGTCAGAAATTGAAAAAATTGAAGGTTTTATATTAGAATTCGTGGTAATTTCATAGTTTATTAGGCAAACAAAAAAGACACAAAAATTCATAATTTTCTTATAAATTCTAAACATTTAATTTTTTCCAGAATTTTTAATAAAAATCCCTGACTTTTCCATAAATTCCCTGTGTCCGAATATATGATTATTATAGTTATAATAATATTAAAACCAAATTCTAATTCATATTTTATTTTTATGAAAATGAATTTGATTAAAAAATTTTGACGTTGTATTATTTTTAAAATTGCTAATTTTATTTAAAAAAAAAGTGAGTATCAAGTTAGCCGCTAGTAAGAATTGTTGCTAGTATTTAAATTAATTTCTATTTTTCTAATGCGTAATTCTTTTTCTCTTTTTATTTTCTCAAAACAGAATCTTCGCACGCGCAAATGTAGTATAGTACAAGAGGAAGACGATGAGGACGACGTGTCTTCATGCTCCGGTAGGGACGACCACGGAAGTAATTCCACGCTGAATTCGTTCAATCGACGAGGATCGCGTTCAGAGGGTAAACTTTCGCACATATTACAAGAGAGGTTGGCCCAGCTTCCTGAAAAGCACACTGCTCTCAAGACTGTTCATCACGCTCACGAGACTTCGGCATTCCGTGACGAAAGTATTAAGTCAAATAAAACTAAGGACAAAACATCAGCGTTAGATAAAAAAATTCATCTAGATAGAAGTGTAATCAGCAATAAAAATGTAGAAAAGTCGCCTTTGATGATAAAGAGTAATCAAGTACCAAATGTGAGTCCAAAAAATAAGATGAACACTGCATTGAGTACTAATGTCGATAATTCAATGAAACGAACAATCGAAGCACAAGAAACAAGGCCAAAATCAATGAACGATAATCCAGCGCCGCCACAAAACAAATGGAAAATGGGATCTCAACATCGGGCATTTCTCTCGCAAGATGAATCGAATTTACAAAAATCCGATAATATAAATCAGGAGACAATGACCACGATACTCACTGAGTCATCGACAGTACCCTCACCACTTCGCACCATAACTTCAATAGCCGATAATCAAGTTCTCTCACCAAAATACAAAACAATGCCTTCTCCAATGAATACGAAAATCAATACCAAAAGTAATAGCCAATCGCAAATTACGCTCAAGGAAATACTCGAGGACGGTGACGCTGTCACGACAACAGGAACAACTAATTTAGATAGTAGCTCCTCGAAATCGCGTGTTGTCAGAAAAACGGGCTACGAACAAAGGAGGAGTAAATTTCACAAGACAAGAACAACTTCGTGTTCGAGTTCAGATGCAAGTGACGATGACAGTGAGAGCAGGAAGAAACGTGCGCAGAAATTGAGTGGCTCTGGAAAGCCATTACCGCCTAGGCGCGATAGTCACGATGATTCGAGTGATTCTCAAGATCCGGGTGGAAGTGGAGGAAGTGGTGGTGGTGGAGGCGGCGGTGGCGGTGGTTTGGGAAATGGAGAACGTACACGTGAAACACCATCCACGGAACCGACTGGCAATGATAATAACGGTGGGAGGGGAAATACAACGACGACGACGACGACAACTTCGACAACAAGTGGAACGCATCGTTGCTCGGAAAATCAGGGAACTGTCTTTGGCCGGAGGCATCGAGCTGGTCGGCGAAGAGCCGGTGAGACACGACTGCGGGAAAGTCAATCACTCAATCGTATCACGGAAGTTCAGGAAGCCGAGGGTCCTTATCAAAATCACAGTCACTCACACACTCCAAGGAATGTTGCATTCACGCAAAATGTTGTCACCACTCCTCCACGTATCGTGACAATGTCGCCGCCGACAATTCCACAGACAGTCACCACTGTTCAGAAGGCAAAATACTTTGGTGCGAGACTCTTGCAGGGCTGGTCTTTGGGGAATAATAAATCGTCCTCGGAAAAAATGACAGGTGAGATTTTATTATTCACCGGGAACAATAATTGTTAAATAATAAAATTATTTTATTCGAGGAGCATAAAAATCTATATTAATAATCGTTTTATTCCGGTAATCTGCTGGAAGTTTGAAGTTAGTTATTGATTGCTCTTTTGTTTCCTAACTTTTTAAAAATTTTTCTTTTCAAATATTTTCAATTTTAAAATTAATATATATTGAAAATCATTGAATTCTCGCAAAGAATCGTATCAACAAATTTCAAAAGAATAATTGAATTCATTCGAAGAATTTTTTTATTTATGAAAATAATAATTGAATTCTCGCGATGAATTTTGTTAAAATTTTTAAAAATCCTCATTAAATTCTTTTGAAGAATTTCTTTGAATTTTTTTAAACTAATGGAGTTTCTTTAATAATTTTAATTGAAAATTTTGAAAGCAATTGAATTTTATTAAAATTGTATTGAAAATAATTGAATTCCTGAGAAGAATTTTATTATTTATACAAATAATTTAGGTAATTCTTGCGAAGAATTTTACTATTTATAAAAATAATTGAATTATTCCGAAGAATTTATTAAAATTTTAGGAATTAAATTAATTTTTTGTAATTATTTGAAAATAATTAAATTCTTTTGAGGTATTCTATTAAAATTGTTTTGAAAAGAATTGAATTTCTGCAAAGAATTTTACGATTTATAAATCAAAGAATCAGAGATGAAAGAATTTATTAAAATTTTAGGAAAAATTGAATTGTTTCGAAGAATTTTATAGAAATACTAGCTGTCGTACCCGTCTTCGACGGGTTTTAGTTTCTACCAATACATTTAAGTTTCTACCAATCTGGAAAATCAGGAAATAGCTAGGGAATTTAATTTGACCGGAAAAAAATAATAATTAGTTACCATTATAGCTATTTTAGTAGGAAAATATTACTATTTGAATCAGTGATTGACTTTTTGTTATCAAATTAGTTATTTTAACCAATTCAAATGCAGAGAACAATATTTATCAATTTGTAGTACTTTAATTAATGTATTAAAAAAATTAAATTTTCCATACAGTTTTTGGAGTTATAGTAGAGTCTAATTGGAACTAATTGTATCGCAAGTAGACCCTACGTTACGACTGCTAAAACCTAACATAAGACCTAAATTTTAGGCTGAAAGTAGGGCTTAAATTTTGACTCGGGTCTGTTTTCATAAATATTATACATCAATAAAAATTGAAGTAAAAAGCAATTTTTTAAAAGCGAATTAATATAATGAAACTTTTTCTTAATTTGATAGGAAAATTCCCGGTTCGGCATATTCCCAGCTTTTTACAGTTTTTCCCGTTTGGTAGATACCCAGTTAAATGTATTAGTATAAACAGAAAACTGTACGACAGCAAGTAATACAATCTATATTTATATGAACTTAAGAAACAGTATTTTCATAAAATAAGTAAATTTTTATAGCCATTTGTAGATTTATTTATGGATAAAATCAAGTAAATTTAAATTTGACAAAAAAGAGATAAACCGTGAAAAGTTTGGACAAAGCAGGGAATTTTGTTAAACAAAAATAGACACCGTGTTAACTTTTGTCTTTACATTGCTCAAAACATCTCTTAAAGTTAAATCTAGAGTTAAAATGAAAAAACGTTTTAACATGTAAGTTTTTGCCTAGTGGCATAATATGCTTGTATTGTATCACAGGTGACTTACAATTCTTGACATCCTGCGAAATCATTTTAATCATAAAAAATTTCCATTTTCAATATTTCTGAACTTCTTGAAAATATTAGATTGATTTGATAAATAATTTTGAATTGCACTATTTTGACATCAAAATATTAATCAGAGACTCCAAAAATACTACTGAATTATACTTCATATAGTAATTAGTATCGATTTTTTGATATATTGAAAATTTTTTTATATTTCTTGTAGGATAGTATTTTTTGCAAAATTATGATAAAATCTGACTAAATAACATATAATATTCATTTTTAGAAAGTTTAAAAGCTATCCATTAAAAATTGTGAAATTTGGAAATTTTCCATTTTTCAAGTTTTTGAAAATATTTTTATATTTACATCTTAGTTGTAGAATAGTATTTTTTGAAAAATTATGCTAAAATGTGACCAAATAACATGTAATACTCAAATATAGAAAGTTTAAAAGCAATCCATAAAAAAATGTAAAATTTTGAAATTTTCGATTTTTTGAAAACATTTTTATACTTACATATTAGTTATAGGACTTTATTTTTTGCAAAGTTATGCTAAAATGTGACTAAATAACATATAATACTCAAGTATATAAACTTCAAAAGCAATCCATGAAAAATAAAAAATTTTGAAATTTTCGATTTTTTGAATTTTTTGAAAAAATTGAATATCTCCCGTTCTAATTAATATTTTTTAAATCTGTAAATTTATAAACCTTCCTTGGGTCAATACCTAATAACCTACCAAGTTGGACTTAAATCGATTCACATGTTTTTGTGTGATTGGGGTACAAAGTTTTTGTGACAGACAAACATACATACATACATACATACATACATTAAATTTTTTAAGAACATTTTTGGAATCTCTGATGTCCATAATAACTAATCATGTTAACATTTTGAAGTTTTAAGCAATGTACAGACAGACATCTGATTTTATTAATAAGGATTTGAAAATAATTAAATTCTTTCAATTTTTTTGACGAATATATTTTAAAAATGCATTGAAAGTAATTCAATTTCCATATACATAGAATTTTTAAAAATATTTTGAGAATAATTGAATTATTTTTAGAAAGTTTTAAATTCTTTTTAAAATTGAATTTTATGGAAATTTCTGAAAATAATTACATACTTTCGTGTAATTTTTTTTTTAATTGGATTAAAAATAAATTAATTCTTGCAAAGAATTTTAGTATTTATAAAAATAGTTGAACTATTTCAAAGAATTTAATAAAATTTTAGGAAATAATTGAATTTTATGGAAATATTTGAAAATATTTGAATATATATTTAATTAATTAGTAAAAATAATGGATTTATAGAAGAATTTTAGTCAAAAACACTAAAAAAAATTCAATTTTGGAGAAGTTACAAATGATTGCATAAATTCAATTATTTTCAAAAGTAATAAAATTCTTCGCAGAAATTCAATTATGTTAAAAATTTTTAAAAATTCTGATAAAATTTCACGGAAAACTAATTAATTAATTATTAATTAATAATTAATTAATTAATTATTAATTAATTATTTTCATAAATAATAAAAATTTCACAGGAATTTAATAAATTATTTACAAATTTTTTATAAATTTCTTCGCAATAATTCAATTATTTTTATAAATAACAAATTTTTTTACAGGGATTCAATTTTTTTCATAAACAAGACCTATTCATTTTTTATTATTTATGTGAATGTAATAATAAATTTCTTTGTAGGAATTCAGTTATTTCCATAAATAATAAAACTCATCGATGAATTTCAATTATTTTTAAAACAATTTTAATTGAATTCCTCGAAAAATGGAATTATTCATAAAAATTTTATTAGAATTCGTAAAAAGAATTCAATTATTTAAAAATTTGTTGATAACATTCTTTATGAGAATTCAATTTTGAGAAACATTCAATTGTTCAATAACTAATTATTTTCTTGTATTTACATAATTGAATTCTCGTAGAATTTTCTAATAAAAATTGATTTAAAAATTAATTTCAGTTACAATTTTAAATAATAATTGAATATTAAAAGCATTATAGCATGAATTTTTAGAAATAATTAAGTTTTGAAAATGTTTCTAGAATTTTAAGAAAATTCTTTGCAAAATTCAATTATTTTCATAAATAACAATATTCATCAAGAAAATTCAATCATTTTCAAATGTAATAAATTACTTCGCAGAAATCCAATTATTTTCAAAAATTTTAATGATAGGTATACAAAATTTTTCCTCAATTCAATGATTTTCGATAAAATTCGACTTTAATAAAATTTTCCAAAAGAATTCAATCATTTAAAAAAAAATTGATATACCATTCTACACAAGCATTCAATTATTATTCAAAAAATTATTTATTTTTGTATTTAAATAATTGAATTCTTGGAGAATTTTCTAATAAAATTTGATTTAAAAATTAATTTAAATTCATTTTAATTTTAGATTTCATTTAATTTAAGTTTAAATTTTAGATAGTACCTTGAATATTAAAAGCGTTGTATGAATTTTCAAAAATAATTGAATTTTGAAAAGGTTTCAAATGAAAATTTTTGAAATTTCGAATTTTTTCACTTTTAACTAACAATTCTGTAGAATTAATTTTTTTGAAAACATTTACTTGATTTTTTTTTGAAATTATTTAAAGTTTTTATTTTCTAAAATATTTTTAATTGAAGAATTTCCAAACAATTGAAATTTGGTAAAATTGAATTGATAAATAAATGAATTTGAAAATTTTTAAAGAACTTTGTCAAAAATTATTAAAGAATAAAAACAGAATTTTAGTTAACAATTCCAGAAAATAATAATTAAAATGATAAAAAAAAATTTTGAAAACAGTGTATTTTTATAAAATAAAATAATGATTTTATCACTCGGTCTTCTTTAATTATTATTATAAAACTCTTAAAGTTATTAAATTTCAAAAACTTTGAATTTGAAATTTTTGAAAATCTTAATTCCTGTTTTTAAATAATTTTACAATTAAAGAAATTCGTGAATGAATGTAATAGAAAATTTTTCTCAGTATCTAATCATTTTTAAAGTGTATCAGAATGTTCTTTAGGGTCAGGGAGAAATTTAAAATTTTGTCTGTAAATCAGGGAAAACAAAATTAACTTTTTGTGGCAACCTTGTTTAAGAATAATTATATTTTGATTTTCGAAGAAAAATATGAAAAATACTTATTTGAAAGTCATTGAATTTTACAAACGTTTAGAATTAAAATTATTATCGCAATAATGGAATAAACCAAATATTCTGCCTAGAAATCGGGAAGAAATTGCGGAAATACAAAGTTGAATTTTCATACCAACCATAAATAAAATAAACGACTTTTTCAATTTTTGTTTATACTTTGTTTCCGACTAAAATGATTATTTTGCCTGAAACTCATTATTAAAAATACAAAAAAAATTATTCTTTATTTTAAAATAACAATAACTAAATAAATAAACATGATTTTAATACAATTTCGATTGTCAACAGGAATTTCAGTTAACAAAAGTGAGAAACATCAGGAGAAACGAGAGACAACTGCAAAAGAGGAAGTTGATTGCAATAAAGAGAAACGCTACGAGCGAAACGGAAACGTTCCACAGTTGCCCATTGATCGTGGAACATCGATGAACAAACCAGATTGCAAAAGTAAACGAATGAAACTACTCAGTCGTTATTTTGCAGTGCACAAAAAGCTCTGCGTCCCACTACCAGGACTATTCAATAAAGGAAGACTCTACAAAGCCAGATCATGCGGTAGCATTACACGTGACAAGGTAAATCCACCATCGCCAAAATCGATGCTTCTTTGTACAACAGTTGACGATAAATGGAAGGAGCAACAAAGACAATGGTTCGAAGCCAGAAATCAACATCGTGGCAGCGATGGTGACATTAATCAGAATTTAGGACTCTCACAACTCGTACAAGATAGAATTGTCGGTAAAAGTTGTGCAGGAATTCCCACCGTATGTCACATTCATTTAAGTGATGCTTCCAAGTGCTGTAGTCTCTGTTAGTCAGCAAAAAAAAATTAATTTTCACTTGCCATAGAGACTGTTTGTTAAAAAAAAAGAAACCTTCGTCAAGAAAAAGTGAAAATTCTCCTATATAATAGTTTTCAATCGTATATATATAAATTCGCTCCATGACATGGAAAGGATAGCGAAAAAAAATTATTAAGCCTCGAATTTAATTTAGGGTTAAAAAACGGTTAAACGATTCGTTTAAACTTAGACGATCGGAACAATTGACTGAATCATTTTACATTTCTTTTTGGAAATTTTTTCTATTTTTTCTTTTTTTTCGAATTGAAGAGCGATCTTTTTTTGATTGCTTATTTTTTCTTCTCTTTTTCTATTACACTGGACACAAACTACAGAGTTTTTTCTGGCATTATTATGATAGTATTTATAAACTATTATGTCAGACATACGTTGATTTATTTATTTCTTCGTAATAGTCGAAGGAAAAATGGTAATATGCTTGTTTCGGTGTACCGTTTGTCACGATCGCTCCGTGGGAGATGTATCTAGTCCGTGTGAACAAACCTGTATTAAATGTTGCAGAGTTTATTATTATTATTATTATTAATTATTAATAATATGATTAATTAGATGCAGAAGTAGGAATATATTATATATATTATTTTATTATATTTTTTTTATTATCTACACGTCAAGAAGATATTATCAAGTCCATTGTTTCGTGAGAAAAAAATTCACTGTTAAAAAAAGAAAATACTTTTTCAGTTTTCTTTTTTTTTTCTTTTCCAAAAAAAAAATTATTATACAAGATCTCAATTTTTAAAAACTATTGGCAAAATTTTGTTTTTAGTTTTTATTTTACTTCCCGTTCGTAGGAAAAAGAATCGTCCACAACATTTTTCACGCTTCAAATCCCCGTGCCTTGAAATATTCCTCTTGCTCTTATCTTTTTTTTCAAAAACGGCGATGACACCCTGAAAGGACATATAATGTAAATGTGTCAAAAACCGTCTAATTTTCTCAACAAAAAAAAAAATGTCTTTGCTCGAAAATCCAAAAAGAAAATAAGAAAAAAAAATCCTGCAAGTGCAAGTCTTGAAAAAAGTAGTTGTAAAAATAATTAAGAAAAAAAAAAGATTGTACGCCGGCCAAGGGAAAAGAAATAATATTTAACAATTAAAAGAAAGAGAAAGCACGCTGGTGCGCGCATAACGACAAAAAGAGAATTAGCAATTATATCGTATTTGATAATTATGATAACTGTTCACATTTGCTCGGTAAATCTTCACTGGTGACGAGTACTTTTCCCGTTTATAGTCTATTATTATTATCAAACTTACAAAAATGACTGAAGATATATTTATTAATTATTGATATTTGTAATTTATACGACTCGAGTTAAATGAACGATATATTTGAATCTCAAGAGAATTTTTTTATCTATTTTTAAACACACTTTTCTTTCTCATTAAATTCTCAATTGCAATGAAATTGAATTTAAAGAGTAATTAAAATTCTTTTTAAATACTGAAGATAATTTAATAATAGTTTAATAATAATTAAATAATTTAATAATAATTATTTAATTTAATTATTTAATTTAATTATTTAATTATCTAATCGAATTATTAAATTATCGAGAAATTTGTTGATATTTTTCGCTCATTATTATCGAAGCGATTTTGTTGTTTCTGTAAACCACCAGTGGAGGTTTAATCCTCATGAAAAAAAATAAACTAATGCCATCATCGTTGTTACCTGATAAAAATATAATTTTCTTCATTTTTCGTTATTGTACATCTCTCCTGAGAAAATTTAAAAAAATATATTTGTAGAATATTTAATATTTGATTTAATTAAATAACTGATCCCACGGATTGGATCGAGTGCACAAGAAATTAAACTTTGATTCGGTCTTTGAAGGCTTTTTCCACGATTTTTTTTGACAAAGTTTCGTGTCAAGTTTTTTTTGTGTGTAAAATAGAGAGAACTAAAGAAAAATGTGTTAAAAATTCTGAAAAATTTTTATAATCGATATTTTAATTATTTTCTGCTAAAATATCAAAAGTTTATTAATTAGTTATATAAAGAAATTTTTTTTTGAATAATTTGTATGAAATGCACAAAAAAACGCATTCTTGAGATTCGAAAAAAAAAATTTATTTTACAAATAAAATTCTATTCAAAATGAATTTAAAAAATTAATTTCGTGTTGCAATATTGTTATTTCTATTTTATAGAATATCAACTGAAAAAAAAATTGTTGAGAGGATTTAAAATTATAAAATTATAAAATTAAAAATTATAAAATTGAAAATTTGTAAAATTTATCACTTACAGATTGTAAAATTATATTTTAAGTTTAATTATTAGTTATTGACTAGAGTTTTTTAAATCACTAAACAAAAATGTAAATTAGTTTAGCCACATTAAAAACTCTTAATAATACATTTGCGAATTCCAATCTTTAATGAAAGTTTATTCTTCTAATTTTAAACTTTCAATGACCGAACAAAAAACCGTAAATATATAAATATATTTATATTATAATTTTAATTAGATTTCACACAAAATAACTTCTTGAGCGTTATAATATTATTCTAGTGCATAAAAAAAATGAAATTTTTTCACTTGTTTTTTATTGATATTTCAAGCGATATATTTCATATCCCTTGCGTGGTCCAAGGATGTTTATATGTACCTAAGTCGACTGTACGATTCTTTGTACATGTATTACCCGAGCCAGACGTTTATATAGTAATACAACATTTATTTATTTATAAAAAAACAAACACAGAGAGAAGGTATTTTCTCACTTTATTGTTATTATTTTTTATATAAATAAGCTCCGCGTTTGTAAATTCTTTTCTGTTTTTTGTTCACAATAGGCACAATATTTGAAAGAAAAAAACGAAAATAATTATTGTCATTTATTTAAACACTATATTGTTAACAGTAATTTTTCTTTTTAAAGGAAACCCTTAAACGCACAACTTTTTACGGAAGTGTACAAAATAATTTAAGTGTTAATTCCAGAAATTTCTTTTTTAATTGAAATTTTAATTGTGGAAAATTATTTTTTTTATTTTCTGTGCAAAAATATTAAATTAAATTGAAATAGAAATACTTATTTTAATTTTTATAATTATAATTTTAATTAATTAATTATAAATTAAATATATAATTATGATTTTAATTAATTATAAATTAAATATATAGTTCTGATTTTCATTAATTATAAATTAAATTTATAATTATGATTTTAATTTATAATTGTAACAGGCTTGGCACTCGATAATTAATTTTAAAAAAGTATCAAAAAGTAGTTCTAGTTATTATTTAAAACTTCAATCTTTTAAAAGAAAAAATAAATTAATAATTTTTCAATCTAAAAATTCAAATATTATTTCAGTTTAACAACAAAATTTTCAAAGAATTTCAATTTAAAAATCTTTCGAAATTTAATTATTTGTAAAAATCCATACTACAACGCGTCTAATATTCAATTATTATCTAAAATTTTTACTAAAATCCATTTTTAAATAAAATTTTATTAGAAAATTCAATTATTTAAACACAAAAATAAATAATTTATTAAATAATTGAATTCTTGCAACGAATTTTATTAAAACTTTTAAAAATAATTTAATTCCAGGAAAAAATTTAATTATTCATGAAAATAATTGAATTAAAACGAATTTTATTAAAATTTTTAAAAATAATTGAATTCTTGCGAAGAATTTTATTAATATTTTTAAAAATAATTGAATTCCAGCAAAGAATTTGATTATTTATGAAAATAATTTAATTCTTGCGAAGAATTTTATTCAAATATTTAAAAATAATTGAATTCCAGCAAAGAATTTGATTATTTATGAAAATAATTCAATTCTTGAAACGAATTTTATTAAAATTTGTTTAAATAATTAAATTCCAGTGTAGAATTTGATTAATTATGAAAATAATTCAATTCTTAGAACGAATTTTATTAAAATTTTTTTAAATAATTGAATTCCACTAAAGAATTATATTATTTATGAAAATAATTGAGTTTTTGCGAAGAATTTTATTAAAATTTTTTCAAATAATTGAATTCCAGGAAAGAATTTTATTATTTTAGAAAATAATTGACTTCTTGCGAAGAATTAATTAAATTATTAATTAAATTAATTAAAAATTTTTCTAAAATAAATAAAAAATTTTCTAACAATTCTTTATTGAAAAACTTCTACATAATTGCATTATTTCCAGGAATTTAATTAAAATTGTTTTTAAAAATAATTTAATTCTTAAGAAAAATTTTATAAACATTTTTGAAATAAATAAAATTTTCTTGAAAAATTGTATTAAAATTGAAATAACAAATACATTCTTTCCATGAATTTTATTATATGTGAGAATAATTAAATTTTTTTGAGAAATTTAATAAAAATTGCATTTAAAATAAATAAATTTTTATAAATAAATTTGTTTCAAGAATGTTTGCAAAGAATTTTACCAAATTTTTTTTTTTAAATATTGCTTTTTCTCGAAAATTTTAATAGAAATTCCATTTTAAATAATTGAATTCTTGTAAAAATTTTAATATTTATGAAAATAATTGAATGTTTGCAAAGAATTTTATCAAAAATTTTTTTAAACAATTGATTTTTTCGTGGAAATTTTATTAAAATAGTAGATATTGTAAATAATTAAATTTCGAATAGTTTTTAAAAATAATTGAATTGTTTCAAAGAATTTTATCAAAATTGATAAGAATAATTTTTTTATTTTAACTATTAGCGAATTTAAAGTAGTAAATTCTCAAAAAAAAGAGAAAAAGAAAAAAGTATCTTTTAGTGGCACAAATGTAAAAAAAAAGAGTAGTAAATAGTAGTGCGATGCCTGTAATTATGATTTAAAATTGTAATAAATTATCATTCTAATTAATAATTTTAATTTACAATTCTAATTATAATTTACTGCAATTTTATTTTTATAATTGAACGTCGAAAATTTATGCGTCTAAGGGTTTTCCTATTTTCAAACAGTATTTCCTTTCGGCTCAAAAATGAAAATTAGAGTCCGAAAAGGTTGATTTGTCAAAAAAAAACAAAGTATTATAATTAAAACACAATTCTTTACACTCGCGAAATAAAATATAAAAATTAACCGAAAAATATTTAGTGGGACTCTTGAAAAAAAATCCTTTTCTCGATACAGTAATTGTAAAAATAGAATTATAAAAAATCTATAAAAAAAACTAGATATTAAAGTACTTCGTTTTCATTTCTTGTCGAAATTTTATTATTGTCATTCGACTAAAAGTGTGGCCTAATTTAAATCAACTGGAAGTACTAAAGAAAAAAAAATATGGTGCCATTATTATATCCAAATAATTGTGATCATTTTATTTTGATTTTTTTACTATTAATTTTTTTTTTATTGTATTTCACTTTTCTAATATTATCAATTATTTCTCCCCTCTTCTTTCTTTTTTTTTGATTTATTAATTTATAGAATCATTTGCACAAATGTAACAAAAGTAGGAAAAATAGTGAATTTTGTATATGACCGCGTTACTGACATATAAAAACGTATTGTACCCATTATAAAGAAGCGAAAAAAAAAATTGAATTTGATATAAGATATCAAGAAATAAAAAATTGTCGAACCAATCACAATGAAAAGACCGTGTAAAAATGGTCATCGAATTGTTATTTGTGATTGGTTTTTTATTGAATTCGCAAGGGACTTTACATTATTAAAGTATTTCATTGGGGGTGATGAGGAACAACAAATATATTGTTATTTGTAGAAAAAAAAACGTGCAGCTAACGAGCCAAAAAGCCTTGCAATTCCTGCGATGAATTTACGTTCTTGACTTATTGTATTAAAAACCAAGTGGTTCGTCTAATTAAAATACTGCTTGCCGGCAAGTATAAATATTTAAATATATAAATAAATATTTAAAATTGATGAGCAGTTAATATTCTTTTAGTGGTACCATTAAATTAATTTTTTTTTTGTTATTAAATACCATTAAATAATTTTTTTAGTTAGTGATAGTTATTTTTTAAAACTATTATTTTTAATTAATTTTTTTTGTTAATTCTTAATTGAAAACTTGGACAAAATGTTTTTTATTCAATTATTTTTCAACAAAAATCTATATTTTTTATCAATATATTTTATTAATTTAAATATATTAAATCTAATTTTGGTTAGAAAATTTTATTTCGATTTCGACTGGATTTAAAATCTGTTTGTCCAATTTTCGTTACGATTTAAAATATTTCAGAATGGATTTAATTCGGCTAATTTCGTATAAAGTAAACCGAAAAAAATTTGGAAGATTAAAATTTTTTTTATATATTATTACTGAAATAATTATTACAATTATATAATATGACGTAGAAAAATATTTATGTGCGTGTCAATAAAATAAGAATGCAGAAATAGGAAGCAAAACACTGCTTCTATATCACACATTAATATATAATTATATGAATGCGAAAATTCATCATACCTCGTTGCTAATTGTTACAAAAAAAAACTTAAATCTATCGTAAAAATTTTGATTCAATATTGAACGGAATAACAATTTTTATTTTTCAATTACTCTGGGATTAAACATTTCCATTTCTTTATTTTCGTAATTATTTTAAAATTATTCCTTTTATTTATTTATTTATTTATTTATTTATTTAAGATTGACGAGTCTATAATATAGACCATAATTTTTAATTATTCTCTTAATATTTCGTAATATTTCGTATTTTTTAAATGATTTTAAATTTACGTTCTCAAATTTAAAAAATTGAATGAATTTCTCTATCAACAAATGGAAATATTCATCTTTATCACTCATGCAACATTTTTTTTAATATTTCTTATTGTATAACAATAGTTAAAAAGCTGAAAAATCAGTCGAGCTTCGAAGCAGTCTTTGCAACAAGAAAAAGCATTTTAAAAATGTTTTCTTTCAAGTGACTTTTTTTTTCTCCATTTTCTGTATGTAAATAATCCTTTTGTTTTCGAACAGATTTTATAGATCGAAATCTGAACATTATTTTTCAAAAACTATTATTGAAAAATCTAGGCCATTAGGGTGGTTTATTAAAAAAGAAAAAAAAGTCAGAAAAATTCACTAAAAAAATATTTTCACTTCGGATGAAATTTCAAAAGTGAATTAACGAATTTTGTTTTCTTTGCTGAGGCAACAACCACCCTACTAGAAATCTTATTAGAAATAAATAAATCTATTTTTTTAAGAAACTCCATTTTTTAACTTTTTGAATATGGAGCTGGAAAAATATGTTAAAATTTAATTTTTAACAAAAATACTGATCATTCAAATTTTCTTATTATATATAGAAAATTTAAATATAGAAAATTGTTTTGTCCAAATGAATCTTAAAGGAAATTTTTCTTTATATATAAATTCTTTGTAAATAGAATTTTTATCATAATGTATAGAAAAAATGTCTGAAATTATTTGCAAATTTTTTTGTTTTGCAAAAATTTTTTTATTTACGAGGTAGATGCTTGTCGTTCTTCCAAAACTTTCAATGCCTTTTTACTGTTCTCAACGAATTCCTAAAAAATCAAAAAAATCAATTTAATTCCTATAATAATTTTTTTTAAGAAAAATTGAAAATATTTATTTTTTTTTACCATTAAACCACGGCTCATATAATAGGGACGGTTAATTCCATCATTCTTGGCGCAATCTTCACAGAAGCAAATGAAAATAGTATCAATCACCATCTATTGCAAAAAATAATAAAAAATTTACATTTTAATTTTTTTTTTGTAAAAATAATAATAATTATAATTGAAATAATTAAAAAAAACAATGAATAAATTAAATGTAAGACAAACCTCGTAAATTGAGATGAAAACGTGCGCAATTACGTATGCGAAAATTCCTGCAATTAAAATTGGTACCCAAGGATGTTGAAGATTTGGTTTTTTCTAAAGAGAAATTAAAAAATTAAATTTAATAAAATTCAATGGATTAGAAAAAATGTTTGTCCTTAAAATGCAATTACCTGCATTAAATAAATTCCTGCGACGACAGTAAGTGCGACAACGAGAACTTTTCCTAAGAAAAGAACAAAATCGCCGACACTATTTATAGCAGCCACGCGAAGAATGTTACTAGACAATGCTTGAAAAGCTTTTCTTCCTCCGGTACAAAAACTGCATCCATAAATTGCTAAAAAAATGTGTCATTTCCATTTTCTTTAACTTAATAAACTAATTAATAAATAATTAATTGAGTAATTTGATATTGAGTTCAATAACTCAGTAGTTAACTGAATAAAGAAATAATTAATTTAATAATTGAGTAAATAAATAAAAAATTAATTAAAAATCGAATAAATTATTGAATTAATAAACTCAATTCACTAAATAAAGGGATAATTAATTAAATAATTGAATAAATTAATAATGAATTGAATAATTCAAAAATTTAATAAATAATTGAATATAAGAATTGAATAATTTACAAATAGTTGAATCATTTAATAATTATTTGACTAAATTAATAATTAATTTAAAAATTCAATAATTTAATTAATAGCTATATGAAAAATTAATTCAATAATTTAATTAGTACATTAATATATTAATTAATTGATAAAATAAATTTTTGTACCTGTTTCAATATAGGCATTTCTGGTGAGAAATTTCAAAGCGCATTCGAAACACCATAAACAGCAATGACAACACCATAAGACACCTTTGGCGCAATCGTTGTCAAACTTTTTAAGTTTTTTTTGCACTGACGCCAACATTGCTCTCAATAATCTGACGATTCCAATTATCATAGCGCCAAATGACACAGTTCCAAGATGAAAACGAATTAATGTTGTTGTACTTCTCGCCACTGGTAATGACAATTGTTTCTTGTCCCTGTGAAAAATATTATTTATATTGCAATTTTTTATTTTCATTTAATTTCTCCCCTAATTTTCCAAATAAGAAAAAATACAGCAATTTATTAATTGAATTTAGACGTTATTGTGAAAAATAGATTAATAGTCAAATTTATTTTCTGAAATGCGACAAACCTGGTGAAGAACCAACGGGCAACTGAACCAGCAACAACCATATGTTGACATCCCAAATAAAATTCACAAATCACGAAGAAAATGAATATATTATACCATCTGGTAATCTGTTAAAAAATATTTCAATTAAGTCATTGTTAATTAAATTTAAATTTGTCATCATTTTCCTCAGTCCAACTTACTTTGATGATTATATCTTTTTTATAATGGAGGTGATTTTTTTTAGTGTTATTATAGAGATCGCCAGCACTCTCTATTAAAATCATACAATAAACCCAGGCAATGACACTCAACAGAACCAATAAATATGTCTGTAAATAATAAATTTATCCTAATTAATAAATTTTAATCACAAAATTGAATTATTGGAAATTATGGAGAAATATTATTTTGACAGAAATAAATATTTACCTGGATCGAAAAACTATTTGTTTCTATCGAAATAGTATTTTCAAATGCAAATATGTAATTATTTTTTCGATACAAATAAATTTCTATTAATTTGTGTAAATACTTTCTTGATGCAAACAATTATTGTTGATGCAAATAATTATTTTTTCGATGCACATTAATTTCTATTTGTATAAATATTTCCTTGATTCAATAAAATATTTTTTCAGTGCAAGCAAATATTTTTTCTTTGCAAATAAATATTTTTTCAATGCAAATAATTATTTTTTTGATACAAAATATAAATTTTTTAAATATTTTCTCGGTTCAATCAAATGTTTTTCATTGCAAGCAAATATTTTTTTTTTTTTTTTTTGTACAAATATAATATTTATTTGCACAGTAAAAATATTTGTTTTGAATCGAGAAAGTATTTATACAAATAACTATTTATTTGTATCAACAAAAGTAATTATTTGCAACAATAAATAAATTTTTTTTTCCAGCATAAAGATAGCAATATTCCAAATAGATGAACTATAAGAGAATAAATTAAGAGTACTTTCGACAATTAATTAGAATGATAGGAAATAAAAATTCACGTACATAAATTGGTTGTAATAATAAGGCGGGCATGGAATAAACTGCTTTTCCAGCTTCTCGAAAAAGTTGGACCACAAGTGCAATTCTCTTTCGCATTACAAGAACAACGAGAATAGTGATGACCTAGAAGATAATAAGTTACTATTTAAGCCGAGGATAATCACAAATTGAAATTGCCATATATTAGAGGCAATTTAACTTACTGTAACTACAGACATTATTATCGCATATACGAAATAATCGGTAGTGCTCGCGTCATCTTCATGGATTAAATGCCTATCAACCGCCTTCTTCTCTTGATACCAAGCCAACCTGAAAATCACAGATCATTACAATTCACTTCATAATTATACGAATAAATTTAAGTAGTTCAGTGTTTAATGTTTATTTTTTGCATTTTTTTTTTTGTTATAGAAATAAATTATTTCATTATACAAGAAAAATTTATTTAATTCAAATAAACGATCACAGTTTTCCTAAGGATATCAAATTGAGATAAAAAACGAATCAAAAATGTTGCGAAGCAACGTTTTGATTCGTTTTTTGTCTCAATTTGATATCCTTAGGAAAACTATGATTACTTACAAGTTACAAGTAATTAAATAAAATTAACAATATTAATATTTCTTTGTATCAAATATTTTTTATTGAGTCAATTAATTTAATTGACTCAATAAAAATTCTTTGATAATAATTATCAATAAATATTAATAATTATTTGATTCGAATACTGAAATATAATAACAATAAATAAATAAATAAATAATAAATTAAATTATAAATTAAATTACCAAAGGTATGTAGTTCCACCAATACAAACGACGACGGCGCCAGAAAGAACAATGTAAATGACATATTGAACCATATATCGAAAGGCAATCAAAATAATCAGAGAAATAGCTGAAAAAAATTTTTTTCTCGCATTATAAAAAAATTCAATAAATAAATACAAAATTATAATTTTTAATTTAACATAATTACCTAAAGCTATTAGAAGAAGATAAACTAATTCCCGCCATGCTTGTGAAAGATCACGTGTTGCTTCCTATAAAGAAAAAATTTTTCCAATTAAATTATTAAAAATATTCCATGCCAGAAATAAATAAAAGGGATTTTTTACAATTAATTTTTAACATAGCAAATATTTCTGGCTTACATGAAAAAAGTCTTTTAATCCCAGCGACTTTATAAGAGATCCTGCAGAATCGGTGACTTTTCTCGGTACACAACGATTTAGGAAAGTCACACTGAAATTTGAAGAAATTAATAAATTAAAAAATTTTATTTCTCTATTCTAAAATAACTTATTTTTAATTTAAAAAATTTTTAATAAAACAAATTTTAATTTAAATTTAAAAAAAAATAATCCAAATTGATTTTTTTTTTATTAACAATATATTCAAAATTTCAAATAGTTGAAAGTTAATAAATTAATAAGTTAATAATATTATCGATAGTTAACAATATTATTATTTTTATCTTTTATGTAATTTCAAATTAACTTTTTTTTTAATTTATCGCAATATTTTATTATCAATTACTTGACTTATTTATTAGTTAATAATTATTGTCAATTAACTGCTGTAAGTAGTTAATAATAAAAAAAATTTATTCTCCAGTAGAAAGAAGAATATGAAACAATAAATTTTACGATCAATAATTTACCAAAAAAAAAGAAAAGAAAATTCCTCTTCTACGAAATCATTCAAACCTCAATAAGTTTATTAGCAATTGAGTGATATTTAAAACTTAAGTCTAATTAATTTTTCATTAAACAACACTTACTAATCTGGTGAATTGGTACAGTTCGTTACACATGTTCTCGATTTCACTCCATCAGCTCCAACATTAACAAGAAGGTACCTTGAAAATAAAGTAATTATAGATAATTAGAAAAATAATTATTTCTTCTGAGTTTCAAAAAATAAATTCAATTATGTTCAAAAATTTATAAAAATTCTCGTCAAAATTTCAATTATTTTTATAAATAATCCAATTTTTCTTCGAAATTCAATTATTTTCAAAAAATTTAATAAAATTCTTGGCAAAATTTCAATTATTTTCAAAAACTTTTCTCAATTCAATTATTTTTAATATCTACTATTTTAATAAAATTTTCCAAAAGAATTCAATTATTTAAACAAAAATTTAATAAAAATTTCACAGGAATTCAATTACTTACCAATTTTTTATAAATTTCTTCGAACCAATTCAATTATTTTTAATTTTTTAATCAAGTTTCTCGAAACAATTTAAATATATTCAGAGAATTGACAAAAATAGTTCTAAAAAATTCAATTATTTCGAAAAATTTAAATAAAATTCTTTACAAGATTTAGTTAATAAAATTGCAATTTTAATAAAATTTTCCTATTTAATTCAATTATTTTCAATACAATTCTTCTAAAGAATTTAGTTATTTTCACAAATGATACATTTTTTATGGGAATTCAATTATTTGAAAAAAAATTTGAACATAATTCTTCGCAAGAAATCAATTATTTTCATAAATAATAAAATTTTTCTCGAGAATTTCATTATTTTTAAAAATTTTGATAAAATGCTTTATAAATTTTAAAAATTATAATAAAATTGATCATAGAATACAATTATTTTCGTAAAATATAACATTCTTCCTAGGAATTATAATTATTGTCAAAAATATTTGTAAAAATCTTCGAAACAAAATTCAATTATTTTCCTAAAATAAGCAATTTAAATATTATTTAAGAAATTTTAGTCAAATTCTTCCCAAGAATTAAATTCATTTCAAAAATTAAACTTTTCACAAGATTTCAATTATTTAAAAAAAAAAATTAATAAAATTCTTCGTGAGATTTAAATTATTTTCAATTTTTTAATGAAATTTCTCAATGGAATTTAATTATTTTCAAAAAGTTTTAAAAAATTCTGAGAAATTGAATTTTTTTTAAAAAAATTTAATAAAATTCTTTACAAGAAATTAATTAATGTCATAAATAATAATATTTTTTTCCAGAATTCAATTATTTTCACAAATAAAATTCTTCACAGGAATTCAATTCTTTAAAAATTTTAAATAAAATTCGTTGCAAGAATGAAATTATTTTTATAAATAACAAAACTTATTGTAGAATTTCAATTATTTTTTATACAATTTTAAATAAAATGATAAAAAATTGCATTTATTCTTAAAATGTTTTTAAAATTCCTCGAAAGAATTCAATTATTTTAAAAAATATTATAAATTTCTTTATAGAAATTCAATTTTAAGAAATATTCATATATTTAATAAATTATTTATTTTTGTATTTAAATAATTGAATTCTCGAGAAATTTTTTTATAAAAATTAATTAAAAAATGAATTTTACTTCAAATTTTAAATTATAATTAAATATTAAAATCATTATAGCATGAAAAAATTAGTTTCTTATTTAAATTATTAAAATATTCTATATATGCTAGAATGAAATAAAAAAAATATGGGGGAAAAATTTTGAAAAAAGAGTAAAACAATAAAAAAGTTTTGAAATAATCATTAGTGGAATAAATAAATATTTACGGCTTATTCTTCATGTCAGCCCCCTTGCATCTAAATTCCGGATTAATTTCCTTGGCAGTAATTCTCCCGCAAATATTGGCGCAGTCATCATAACCATTGATAACTCTGTGGATGTCACCTTTTTTTGCTGCGGCACTCATAAAATATCCCTGTTAGAAAAAAACAATATTATAATCAATAATTTCTTATGATTATTTAAAAAAAAAAATTTTTTAAATTGCTACATTTAAATTAACTCAGAAAATAATTTCATGAAATTATTATGTACATTTAAATTAATTCATAAAATAATTATTTTTAAATTAGGATAATTATAGCGTAATTAGCGATATACTCAATATAAATTCTGATGACAATTATTAATAGCATATAAATACAACCGCACAACTAGACATAATAAGAAATTATAATTTTTTATTCAATTCTAATCTTCATAAAAATAAGAAAATGTAATTATTATAATTTTTTATTCAATTTTAGTCTTCGTAAAAATAAGAAAAATGCTAAGAAAATTAAAGAGCTAAAAAGAGTAGATAGAGAAAAACAAGAAGAGAAAACTTACAAAGGCACATAAAACGATAATGAAGATGATTAATGCCAATATGTCAGTACAGGAACGGTCATTGGAAAAAACTTGATTGACATCATCAGAATTTTCCTCATCATCGGGCGACTGCAAAAATTCAATTAAATGTAAGGCAAAAAAATTAATAAAAAAATTCCAGAGTAACAATTTTTACAAATTTGAAACAAACAAATTACTTTCTAAATATCCAACGATCTACAGGGCTTTTGTTCATAAACTTTAAATAAATAAATGAATGAATGAATAATTAAATAAATAAATAAGTAATAAATGTAGTTGTTCAAAAAAAGTATAGTAAATAATTATAAATAAATAATTAGTAATTATTGTAAATAAATAAGAAGTAAATAGTTATAAATAATTAGTAAATACTTGTAAAGAAATAAGAAGTAAACAATTATAAATAATTAGCAAATACTTGTGAATAAATAATAAACAACTATAATTATAAATAATAAATTATTATAAACATAATGCAATTTTTTGTTAAATTCTAATTAACCATTTCTAAATAAAAGAACAAGAATTCAGTCGTGATATAAAATAAGATAAATATAATTGATAGAAAAAACGATCAATAAAATATTTTCAATAATTATATAGATGAGCAAAAAAAAAAAATCTTTCTCGAAATGTAATATTTTATTGTCATTTTTACCCTTTAGATTTTATGAATGAAGTGATTTTTAGTTTTTTCCATTAAATAATTTTACATCTCGATAGAGAGATTTTAAATATTTCGAGTTTTGTTCCTTCCTCTCATTACACAGAATACATAATAATATACATTTATTTTTAAAATAATACTATAATATTTATGAACAAAGAATATAAAAAAATAAGTTTTATGTATTAAAAAAATTCATTTTTAGAAATTCCATATCCTTTATGTTCTAATCAGTTCAAAATTTTACTAATTTACTAATTCAGATTTAGAGAATAAGTTTTGTGATAATATGTAATTCTTCGATTAGAATTTTATTAAATTAATGAAAATAATTGAATTTCTTTTATTATTAAAAGAAAAATTAAAAATTTCTTTTATTATTTATTCTGTTGAAGAATTTTAATAAATTATTAATGATCAATCTTTTACGTCCGAGCAGTTAGTTGTCAGATAAATAAAAACGAATTCATTCAGACCAAATGTTATTGTATATTTTTTGTATATTTTTTTCTTTTTTTTTCTCCAAAGTCTCGAAATCTTAACGATTTCCTCTTCAGGAAGTCGAAATAAATCAGATGATGTAAACTATATCACTGATTTATTTTGACTTCCTGAAGAGGAAATCGTTAAGATTTCGAAACGTTGGAGAAAAAAAAAAGAAAAAAATATACAATAACATTTGGTCCGAATGAATTCATTTTTATTTACCTTACAATTTTTTTTTACAATTTTTTTTTCCTCAAAATTTTGAAAATAATTGAATTTTCGAGAATAATTTTATTATTTATGAAAATAATTGAATTCTTGTAAAGAATTTTATTATTTATGAAAATAATTGAATTCTTGCAAAGAATATTATTTAAATTTTCAAAAATAATTAAATTCCAGCACAAAATTTTATTACTTTTGAAAATAATTGAATTCTTGAGAAGAATTTTATTAAAATTTTGAAAAAAAATTTTAATTCATTTAAAGAATTTTGTATTGAAAGTTTTAAAAATAATTTAATTCTTTTCAGAAATTTTATTAAAATTGTTTTAAAAATAATTATGAATTCTTGTGAAAAATTTTTGAAAGTATTAAAATTATTTTGAAGAATTTTATTACTTACGAAAATAATTCTATTAAAATTTTCAAAAATAATTGAATTTTTGTTTAGAAAACATTCTCAATGTTGTAAATTTTATAATTTTCAAATCTATGAAATAAAATTTAATTCTTGTATAGAATTCTATTAAATTAATGAAAATAATTGAATTTTAGGAAAGAATTTTATTTTTTATGAAAATAATTGAATTTTAGCACAAAATGTTACTACTTTTGAAAAAAAAATTTAATTTGTTTGAAGAAGTTTTTTATAAAAAATTTTGAAAATAAGTGAATCCTCTTCAGAAATTATATTAAAATTGTTTTAAAAATAATTATGAATTCTTGTGAACAATTTTTGAAATTATTAAAATTATTTTAAAGAATTTTATTATATTTATAAAAATAATTGAATCCTTGCAACGTATTTTATTAAAAGTTTCCAAAAATAATTGAATTCCAGCGAGAAATTTTATTATTTTTTTTGAAAAATAATTGCATTCTTGAGTAGAATTTTATTTAAATTTTCAAAACATAATTTTCATTTTTGTTTGGAGAATCTTTTATTAAAAATTTTTTGAATATAATATTGAATTCTTTCCAGGAATTTTATTAAAATGTTTATGAAAATAATTGAACCCTTGAAACATTTTTTATTAAAATTTTCCAAAAATAATTGAATTCCAGGGAGAAATTTTTTTATTTTTTAAAAATAGTTGCATTCTTGAGTAGAATTTTATTTAAATTTTCAAAAATAATTGAATTCTTACGAAGAATGTTTTTCAAATTGTTGAAAATAATAACTAACTAATTAATTATTAAATAAATTAGTTAATTAGTTAATAAGTGAATTTTTTTGAATTTCCAAATCTGCAATTATTCAAAAATTGAAATTGATATTTAAAAATAAAAAAATTTGTAATTTGAATTTATTAATAATAAAAAATTGAATAACGAGGTTTGTGCGCTGACGCACGTATAGCATTTTCTAGTTATAAATAAAAAAAATTAGTTTAAAAATATTTCTCTTTTATTTATTGTTTACTAACTACAAATATAAATATTTATTAATAATAGTCAAATGTTTGATTACTTGAAGTAAATAAATTTTTTTTCAGTCTATTAATTTAAATTAAACTATTGAAATGAAAAATCTATTCATTTACAAAAAAAAAAAAAATGAAAGTGAGCCGCTGGATCGTGTAAAGTTTCCTAGGACGAAATCAAAGTCCCTTATTGGACACTCAAAATTCAACTTCTGAATTTAAATATTTGAATGCATATTATATAGAAACTTTCATTACCACTTCAAAATATTTAAATTTTAAATTCAAAAATTGAATTTTGTGGGACCAATAAGTGACTTTGATTTCGGGCAAGAAAAATTAAATAATAATTTACTCCTACGATCCAGAAACTCAAATTTAAATGGCTCGAAATTTATTTACTTCATGTAATCAAACATTCGACTATTATTAATAAATATTTATATTTGTAGTTAGTAAACAATAAATAAAAGAGAAAAATTTTTTAACTAGTTTTTTTTATTGAAGAAAAAAAATTTTATTATTAAAATAATAAAATAAATAAAAAATAAATAAATAATAAAGAAATTAATTTGATTAATTTATTGAAAAAAAATTGAAAGTGCCAAAAAACAATTGCTGTGCCAGTACCACTAAATGTAAACAAAAATCAAAACTATATTCAGTGCGTGATTAAAATTTGACACAAAATTTCATTTTCATCACATAGCATAATTATATTCTCATTTCTAAAAAAAAAAAAAAAAGTAGTGTTTTTTTACGAGGCTCTCGATATATTGTAAAATCTCTCTTACCGAAGGCACTACCTTATCATCCCCACAGCCGCAGCAACCCATATTTGTCGTTGGTGATGGGGAGCGAAGTGGCAAAAACCGTCCCCGATCACTTTCGATTCTCGCCTCCTCTTGATCTTCTTCCTCAACGCATGTATACAATTTTTCCTCCTCGGGAGTGACAATTTCTATATTATAATAAAAAGAAAAAAAATCAAATATTATATTTACACAATGTGAACATAATTTATTATATATATGTACATAATATATGTTTGCAATTGTCCTTCCATTAATCGCGCTATCATTCATGGGTTCCAGAGACTGATTCTTATCATAGGTAAACGTTACCAGTAGAATGCATAACGATCGATGGGGGACTTCAATCGAACAAACTGTCACGCGAGCTAACATTATACAATTCCGTAACGCGGGGCAACGACGTCTTGCATTTTTAGAAAATTTTATTATCACTGCATGAACGAGAATAATTTATCATAATATGACAAATAATAATAGTACGAGAATATTAAAACTGGTTAATTTTTTTTTTTCATAATTTCTAATCGAATTTTATCTATATATATATATAGATCTTATCAATGAAAGTGGTGAGAGGAACAAAGGAAGAGCGATTCTCCTTTTTTAATTATTTTAAAAATAATAGAATTAAACAATTCGTACCTAATTCAAATTTTTGTTGAAAACACTAAAAAAATTCAATTTTGGAAAAATTACAAATAATTGCAGAAATTCAATTATTTTCAAGAGTAATAAAATTCTTCTCATAAAATTCAATTATCTTTCAAATTAAAAAAAAAATCTAGTCAAAATCCCAATTATCTTTGTATAAAAAAACAAAATTCTTCCCCAAAATTAAATTATTTTCAAATTAATTTCAAATTCCCAAAGATAGTACGCAAACATTTAATTATTTTCATAAATAATAAAAATTTCTCAGGAATTCAAACAAATTATCTATAAAGTCCTTCGCAATAATTCAATTATTTTTATAAATAATAAAATTTTTTCAATTATTTCCATAAAAAATAATTAAAAATTGTAGAAAATAATAATTAATTTGAAATGATGAAAATAATTTTGAAAAAGTTACTGAAATAATATTCTTATAATATAAAACAATGATTTTATCACTCGGTCATCTTTAATTATTATAAAACATTATTCTTATAAGTTAGTGAATTTTAAAAGATTTGAATTTGAAATTTTTGAAATTCTTAATTCCTATGGAAAAATAATATTGATTAAATATTTATTTAAAAAAAAAAGTTATTGATGTTTTCGAATAATTTTACAATTAAAGAAATTCGTAAATAAAAATGTAACAGAACATTCTTTTGAGTAAAATTTTTTCCTTTATTTTCAAAAAATATTCGAAATTCAATTATTTTTAATATCTAGATATTTTCAAGAAATTTCGCAAAATAATTCAATTAATTTAAAATAGCATTTTCAAAAACATTTCGAAAAAATCAATTATTTAACAAAATTTTATACAATTTATTTATTTTTTTACAATAATTCAATTATTACTTCCACTAATAATAACATTTTTCATTAAAATTCAATTATTTAAATAAATTTTTGATAAAATAATTCTAAGCATGAATTTAATTATTTTCATAAATAATAAAACTCATCGAAGAATTTTAATTATTTGTATATTTTAAATTAATTAATCGGAAAATTAAGTTATTTTTCACAAATAAAGTTTTCCACAAGAATCCAATTATATTTAATTTTAAACTAATAAAATTTTCATAATAATCATTAAATTTCGAAAAAATTAATTATTTAAAACAATGTTCATAAAATTCTTATGAAGAATTTTAAAAAAAATTTTGCTTTCAAAAATAACAAAATTTTTCACGGAAATTCAATTCTTTTTTTAACATTTTAATAAACTTTTTCACAATAATTCAATTATTTTCAAAAATAATAAAATTTCTCGAAGAAATTCAATTACTTTTAAACATTTTAATAAACTTTTCCACAATAATTCAATTATTTTCAAAAATATTAAAATTTCTCGAAGAAATTCAATTATTTTTAAACATTTTAATAACATTCTTAGCAACTATTCAATTATTTTTATAAATAATTCTTCAAAAGAATTCAATTTTTTATTGTGATGTTTTTTTGTTTGAATTCAATTTTTGTCGATAAATACTAAAATTTATTATTCCCGAAAATTCAATTATTTTGAGGTATTTTAATAAAATTCTTTGCAAAATTCAATTATTTTTAAAAATAACAATATTCATCACAATAATTTAATTATTTTTAAAAGTATTAAATTTCTTCTTGGAAATTCCATTATTTTAAAAAATTCTAATAAAATCATTCGCAAGAATCCAATTATTTTCATAAATAATAAAATGTTTGTTAGAAATTCAACTATTTTCAAAAAACTTAATTAAATTTCCACAGACATTCAATTATTGTAAAAAATTTTAAATTTTTGAAAATAATTTCAATTTTTTTTTGAAGAATTTTTTTTTAAATTTTGAAAATAATATTGAATTCTTTCCAGGAATTTTAATAAAATCTAAAATGTTTTAAAAATAATTGAATTGTTGAGAAAAATGTTTGAAATTAATAGAATTATTTTGAAGAATTTTCGAGTAAATAAATAGAAGTAAATAAATAAATAGAAGAATTTTAGTAAAAAATACTAAATAAAATTGAATTTTGGAAAAGTTAGAAATGATTCCAGAAATTCAATTATTTTCAAAAGTTATAAAAATTCTTTGCAGAATTTCAATTATGTTCCAAAATTCAAAAAAAAAATTCTCGTCAAAATTTCACTTATCTTTATAAATAATAAAATTCTTCTTCGAAATTCAATTATTTTTAAAAATTTTAATAAAATTCTTGTCAAAATTTCACAGGAATTCAATTATTTAAAAAAATGTTTATCTTTATATACAGTAAATAGATGATAAAGAAATAAATTATCTAATATAATTACCATAAATAAAAATTTAAAATAAAGTGCAGTGAGAAATAAAATATAATGTGATTCACAATATATTATTTAAATTCTAGAAAAGTGGTATAATTTTTTTTTTTTTTTTTTGAAAAGAGCAAACTTGTTAAAAGTGAGTTGGCAGGAACGTTTGGTCTCATATAGAAAAAAAAGGAGTATATGGGCAATTCCACGTGAGATTTAAGTCGACCTCTTAAAATCGGCCAAAAATATTTTTTTTCTATTCAGTATCGAAAAAAAAACAGATACGTATTTTTTTATTTATGTTTAATTGTCCAAATTTTCGAAAATTTGGACTTTTAATTGTAGACCTATATTCAGTAGCTTATAAGTCCGAAAATATTGAGTTTAGGAAAAAGTTGTCAAAGAATGAAAGTTTTAGTTTTCTTTCGACTTTTAAGAAATGTAAACAAAAAATTTTTTTTTAAATTTTTTATTAAAAGAAAAATTTTTTTTTATAAACAAATTAATTTTTTTTAACTTTGGGCCGGATTTTTTTTTATTTTTTTTTATTTTCTTGTACCTTATAATATAGAGAAGATTTTCCAAAAAGTCCCGAAATGGGCCTGATGTGTTAAATGAGTTTTAAAATATTTTCAAAAATCACTTGCAAGCATCACAGTGGGATTTTTTTACAATTAACTTTCTAAAACTGTCTACAGCGTATAATTTTTAATATATTTGAGTGTTCTTTGTTTTAAATAAAAGGGTCTACGCTGTAAACAGTTTCAAAAAGTTAAATGTAAAAAAAATCCCACTGTGATGCTTGCATGTGATTTTTGAAAATATTTTAAAACTCATTTAACACATCAGGCCCATTTCGGGACTTTTTGGAAAATCTTCTCTATATTATAAGGTACAAGAAAATAAAAAAAAATAAAAAAAAATCCGGCCCAAAGTTAAAAAAAATTAATTTGTTTATAAAAAAAAAATTTTTCTTTTAATAAAAAATTTAAAAAAAAATTTTTTTTGTTTACATTTTTTAAAAGTCGAAAGAAAACTAAAACTTTCATTTTTTGACAACTTTTTCCTAAACTCAATATTTTCGGACTTATAAGCTACTGAATATAGGTCTACAATTAAAAGTCCAAATTTTCGAAAATTCATAACTCGAAAATTTGGACTATTAAACATAAATAAAAAAATACGTATCTGTTTTTTTTCGATACAGAATAGAAAAAAAATATTTTTCGCCGATTTTAAGAGGTCGACTTAAATCTCACGTGGAATTGCCCATATGCAATAAAAAGTAAAACATTCGAAGAAATTGTGAGCTCATAAAATATCTACAAGCTCGTGCAGAAATCATTTAGGTCAATAGTAGCTTTCCAAGAGCCATTAAACAATTTCAAAATATTACCATCGACCGAGATAAATATCTTCCCTATTTTATGTAATGCAAAAGGTGTATAAATTGAACTTTTTACTTCAGTGTCGCTCTACTTATAGCGTATAATTAACTAAAAATAGTTTTTTTTTTGACAAATTTGTCGCACATACAGTTTTACTATATTTCTATATTTATGCGCGAATTACACACTCTTCTCTCTTAATTATATTTCCTAATTTGGGACAAATTCTCTAATTAATGAATCCATTAACTGATTGTATTAAAATGATAATAGTTTAGAGAGAAACGGTTTATTTTTCTCGCAGTACAAATAGAAATTTAATATTCTTTCAATTATAAAGATATTATAAATTATATTTATTATTAAATAAATAAATAAATAAAGAAAGCACCGAAAAAAATAAAATCTCAAAGTGAGAAGTAAATTCCGTTCTACAATTATTTTCACATTTTATTTTCAATATACGAATAATATACAAAAAAGAGGAAGTTTTTTTGTCTGAGTCAAAAATATCTTTTTGTGTGTGTAATAATAATAATAATAATAATAGTAAAATCTTTTACACACATATCTTTCAAAAATCGAAAAAAGAATTTATTAAATAATAATAATTCAATAATTTTAAAATATAGTCTAATTGAGAAAAATAAAGTTTCAAGAGAGACAAAATAAACTTTGCAAAAAGAAGTAAGTAGCTTATTCACGAGAAGTATTTAATCAAACAACTTTTATTTACACAACGTTTGTCACGTGCAAATACATTAAATTTCAGATGTAATTGTTCGCATTCGAGACCATAAGTTATCGTGTTTGTAATCTTAAGAGC